CTGCTTTTCGGTCTGGTTACTACCGTTTATGTCAGAACCGGTGCCATCATGGCACCGGACACCGGTACCCATCCCTAGTCATGTTGCTATATCTTCATGGATGTTGAATATAAATACCATCCCTGCCTTGTAATTTCAGTAATAACCCAAAAATTGATGTAATGTCTAAATAAAATATAAAAATAATATATAAATGAAATGATCTGATGTCAAAAACGAACCTTTGATAAGTTATTATGACATGCTCCATGCTCATTAACTGTTTTGAAACAGAAATTGAATCAGTGTGGTTCAAAGTACATGCAGTGCAATAGTAACATCTGTCAGTGATAATAATGTCACAAGGTTTGTTTGCCTGTTGGAGATTCATCCAGAAGTGTGAATATTTTTAATATGAGATATTATTTTTAGGACTTACATGATCTGTAAACTCTGTTCTGCAAGTAAAACTAGGCAAACGTCAAAATACTTTTTCATACCAAGAGCTCTGAAAACTCACCATAACCGCCTTTTCTGGAGCTGCCAAAGACCACATCAGGGCGAGAATTTTTAGACTTCTTGTTGTAATGGTTCTGACTGGCATGAAGCTTAGCCAGACGCTAAGTATGGCTTTCTCTCAGTTGCTCCTTGACTTTGGTTTTATGTTTCCGTTTACAGTGATCCAAACTGGTGGAAAGGAGAGAACCACAGAGGAGTTGGGCTTTTCCCCTCCAACTTTGTCACAACCAATCTGAATGCAGAGCCAGAGCCAGGTTGGTAGCTTCTTAAGGACAGACTCTTGTTTTTACTTCCTGTTGAGCATATTGATTTTATTTCTAGAGCTGCTAATGTAATTGAACCTTTTCTTTCATAGTTACTTATGTTGATAACCCGGCGACTCCAGAAGAGACAAGCCTGGAAACCAAAATAGAGCCTGAGCCCGTCTTTATTGACGAGGTAGCACATTTCCTCAGCGATACTTCATTTGCAAATCCATCTCTCAGTTATTTTACCAACACATATCTGCTCACGTCTTTCTGCAGACGAAGATGGACCGAACGCTGGCACTGCTGCAGAATACAGATCCTGCAGATTCCACTCCTGACTCCCTAGAGCTGATCCAGCTGGAGGGTAAAAACTTTAATGCCACTCTAAATCTAGTCAAACTGTCGCTGTCAGCTGCAGTCAGTGTGAGCTGTGCTTTTGCTTTCTGACCTCATTTCTCCTTTTCTCTCCGTGGATGTAAACAGGTGCATGTGCACAGATGAACCCACTGATTGATGAGAAGCTGCAGGAGATTGACAGGTAATGTGTTAATTATGTAACATTTCTCTATTATTAATCAGATTGATCATAATCACCATATGCACAGCAAATGCAAAAGGTTCTTCATCCAGGACTTGGGACTGATGTTTGTTTGTGTGTGTTGCAGGAATCACTCAGAGTTATCAGAGTTGAACGTGAAGGTTTTGGAGGCACTGGAGCTTTACAACAAGCTCATGAATGAGGC